GCTGGCGTTCTTACTGCTGATCGCCTGGAGTGGGGGCAGGCTCCAGAGGCTGTGGGTGGTGGGGCTGGAGGGGCCGGGCCCCTCCTGGAGTTCAGGCGTGACCCTGAGGACTGTGGAGCTGCTGACAGATTCTTGGCAGGGGAGGGACTGAATGAGGATTGTGCTTCTCAAAAGATAAGGAAGGCTCTTTGCAAACCAAGTCTCCCCCAGTAGGGGCCAGAGAAAGAGCTGGAAGTAGATTTCTCTGACACCAGAAGAGCTGAATGTATCAACAAGGCTAATCTCCAAAACATTATGTTGAAGGGGGATAAAACAGCAAGTAGAAAAAATGTTACAGTTTCATACAGTTTAGAGCAATTACTAAAAAACAGAAAGTGAAACTATGTATCTAGTTAGCACACCGGTCTGGAGCAGTGGGCTGGTAGTGTGCCTGGCACCCCGGATGAGGGGGCAGGCCACCTGGGTTCCCATCCTGATGCCCAGGCACACTAACAGGGATACCCTGCGCGAGTCACTTCACTGCCCTGTGCCTCAGTTTCTTCATCTGTAAAACAGGGTGATAGTAGTGGTGCCTACCTCATAGAGTTGCTGGGAGCTTAAATGAATTAATTCTTGTAAAGCATAGAATAGGGGAGCAGTAATTGTTTGGTAGCATTATTTTTATTTAGGATGTTGTTTCTGTAGTGGGGGAGGGGAATGGGGTTGGGGAGGTGAACACAGGTGACTCCCACTTTGTAAAGTGTTATGTCTTTTATTTTTAATTATTATTTTGATGGAGATGTAACTTACACATGGTGAAGTACGCAGATCTTTTGGGGTGTGCTCCATGAACTTTTATATATGTATACACCCCTGCAGCCAGCACCCAGTCCACTCCCCCATGCATAAGTGTTGTGCCCTCTGCAACCTCCTTCTGCAGATTCTATCATCATAGATTAATTTTGTTTGTTCTTGAACTTCATACCATGTGGAATCATTTTATGATTCTTTTATGTCCGGATTCTTTCACTCAACATGTTTTGTTTTCTATTGAAATTCACATACCATAAAATTCACTTTTCTTTTTTTTTTCTTTTTCTGCTGAGGAAGGTTGTCCCTAAGCTAACATCCGTGCCCATCTTCCTCTATTTTGTATGTGGGGCACCGCCACAGCATGGCTTGATGAGCGGTGTGTATGTCCACGCCCAGGATCCAAACCTTCGAACCCCAGGCTGCCAAAGCGGAGAGCTCGAACTTAACTGCTACGCCAACCGGCCAGCCCCTCACTCTTTTTTGTAAGGGTGCAGTCCAGTGATTTTTAGTATCTTCACAAAGAACACGATGTTTTTGAGATCCATCTGTCATGTTGTGTGCATCAATCTTTTATTGCTTTTCCTTTCTAGTGGTGTTCCACGGTGCGGATGGATCATAGTTTCTTTACCCATTCACTTGTTGATGTACATTTGGGTTGTTTCTGGTTTGGGGCTTTTATGCATAAAGAATGTTCATTGCTTGTATCTTTTTGTGGGCAAAATGTGTTTCATCAACTATTAGATCTCTACCTAGGAGGGTTGCTTAGTCATGACGCAGGTGCCTTTAACCCAATGGGTCTCATCGAGGGCAATTTTGTCCCCTCCCGCAGGAGGGAGACTAGCAGTGTCTGGAGACATTTTTTGTTGTCATGACTGGTAGGAGGGGGGTGGGTGCTGCTGGTGTCTCGAGGCCAGGCATGCTGCTCAGCATCCTACAATGCACAGGACAGCCCCACCCCAGAGAACGAGCGGCCCACACGGCAGCAGTGCCGAGGTTGCAAAACCCGGGTTCACCTTATTGCAAACCACCAAATCATATTCCAAAGTGATTCCTCCTGTTACATGCCTGCCAGCAGAGGAGGAGAGATCTGGTTGCTCCACGGCCTGCTTAGTCCTTGGTGCCGTCAGTCTTTTTCTTTTTAGGCATTTGGGTGGATGTGTTTAAAGTCATTTATAGCTTAAAATAATTCTGAAGTGAATCAAGCCAGTATGACAAATGTTAACATGTGTTCATCTTGGGTGGTGGATGTACTTTAGGAGGCTCTGATCTGTTCTGGATTTAAAATTGGTATATATATATATTTTTTTAAATAGTAGAAGCGCCCCCTGGCCACACAGATGGTGGGTGTGCTGGGGTGTTTTCCTGTTTTCCCAGACTTCTCAACTGGACTCAACTGGCTTTGCGGTCTCCTCCATAACTCACTCAGATGATCTAATTCATCCGAGTGCACCCCCACCTGCCTTCCTGGGGCGCCCACCCTCTCCCTGGGGACTGGTTCTCTGCAGGCTTCCAAGTTCCCTGGCTTTGGCCTCTATCTCCACCTGCAGGGGATGTGGCCCAGTCTAGTGGAGGGAGATGGCCTGGGCTGGAATCCTGCCCCCTTGGGCCTGGGACTGACCCCTGTGGACATCAGGTCACCCACCGGCAATGGAGATGCTAACGCACAGGCCTCACCTGCTCCACAGGCCTCACCCGCTCCGGGTGGGGATTCGATCTGTTGATATATTTAGATTTCTCAGAACCAAGCAGAACACCAGGGTGGGGACTAGGATGAGAAGGGAAGTACTGGCCTCAGGCACAATATTTAAGGGAGTGCCAAAAAACCACAAGATACAATGTTTTAATACAATATTTTTTTTAAAAATAAAAATTAATGCAAAAAATCCAAATAAAGCCAGGACTGGCAATCCTGATCTTTTCCTTCTGCTTCAGGCACCAGAAGGGCTCAGCTCTACTGGCACTGTTAACTGATCTGTCTTTATTTAGAATTTTGATATTTTTATCAAAATATGGATTTTTAAAATTAGTTTTGATTTTAAAATAGTGCGTTCAGGGCCGGCCCCGTGGCTTAGCGGTTAAGTGTGCGCGCTCCGCTGCTGGCGGCCTGGGTTCGGATCCCAGGCGCCCACCAAGGCACCGCTTCTCCTGCCATGCTGAGGCTGCGTCCCACATGCAGCAACTAGAAGGATGTGCAACTATGACATACAACTATCTACTGGGGCTTTGGGGGGAAAAAAATAAATAAAATAAAATTAAAAAAAAAATAGTGCGTTCAAATATGATTTCTCTTCATGGCTGAGTTTTGCATGCCTTCCCCTCATCCTGGCCCTGCTGGGCACAAAGAGGGTGCTCTGTAAGTGTTATGGTGTCATTATTACGTACCATGTCTACCTTCTACCATATGAAGCCTCCCTCTGGCCCGGAATGACTGGTTTCTCTTCATTAGGCTTTTTGGCTGAAGTTATTCCTCCAGTGACTTCAGCTCTGAATCTGTTGTCTAGAACATGGACCCCAAGAGAGCCTACACTAAATGAGATTGAAATGCTAGAACCTTCCTGGAAAACTGTGGAGGAAGGTTGAACCGAGTCAGAGCTTAGGGAGACTGGAGCAGGCTGATCCTGTTCAGCCTACTTACCTCCCCTCCCCCTCCCAAATCCCCAAATCAAAACGTAGCTGAGAAAAGATTGACAATACCAGGTGTGGGCAAGGATTGCGAGTAACCAGAACTTTCACAGGGTGCTGGTAGGAGCGTAAAGTGGAACAGCCACTTAGGGGAACTGTCAGGAGCTACTAAAGCCGAACATACACACGACCTACAGCCCACCATTCCCCTCCTAGGTATTTGAGGGGTATTCGAGAAGGGAACTTAGGTTTGCAAAAATACTTGTACGTCCTTTATTAACAATGGCCAATCACTGGAAATAAATAAATGTCCATCAGAAAATGGAGAAACTATATTGGCTATATCGTGGTATAGCCACACAGTGGAATACTACCCAGCAATCAAAAAGCATGAGGTATTGACATGTGCAGCAATGTGGACACATCTCAAAACATTTTTTTTGTGCGTGAGGAAGATCAGCCCTGAGCTAAAAATCCATGCGAATCCTCCTCTTTTTGCTGAGGAAGACTGGCCCTGAGCTAACACCCTCCACTGTATATGGGAGGCTGCCACAGCATGGCCTGACCAGCGGTGCGTCAGTGCGCGCCTGGGATCCGAACCGGGCCGCCAGCAGTGGAGCGCGCACACTTAACCGCCACGCCACCGGGCTGGCCCCAAATCTCAAAACATTTTGTTGAGCAAAAGAAGCCAAATGCAGTACATGATTCCATTTATATGCAATTCAAGAAGAGAAAAACTCTAGTGATGGAAACCCACACAGTGGTTGCCTGGTAGGGGTGGGAGAGGAGGGGTGTGGTTGACTTGAGAGGGGCACAACAGAACTTTCCGGGGGTGATGGAAATGTTCTGTCTTTGCCTGGCAATTGTCACTCCAGTGACCGGGCAATTGTCACTCGGGTGGCAACCGTCAAAATTCATGGACCTGCTCCTTTTACAATAACTACCGCAGAAATATAGTGGGGGAAAAATAATTTAATACAAAGAAAAAGTGAAATTAAAAAAACAAAAAGTTTGATGGCGAAACATCCTGGTTCTGGCTTTGTGCCCGGACCTGCAGGGCGGCTAGCACGGTGCCTGAGCCGGGACGCGTCTGCGGGCAAACGGGAGCTACTGCTCAGGACCGCTGCTCTCACACCCACGCCCTCAGGGGCCCCTTCCCACGCGGGCGCGAAACGTCCCCTCCACGCTGGAGTCGCTCCGAGCTCCCAGCCCTTCTCAGAGCCCTTCAGAGCCTCCACCCCGGAGGACCAGGAGGCCGCGGGCCGGTGCCCACCCCGAAAGCCCTGAGCTCCGCGCCCGGCGCAGAGGCCACATTTCATAAGGGTGAGACACTTGCTACGGGCCAGTCAGCTGGCTTCGATCGCCAGTACTAAATATGGCGACACTCACTGAGGGCAACCCCCCGGTGACGTGACAGCGCGTGTCGACGCGGGCCTCGGGCAGCCCACTCGAGCGCCTACTTTTAGATTGACCAATGAAGCTGCGTCATGAGACACGCCCTCTTTCCTCTCTCCACCAATAGCCTCCCGATGCCTCCCGCAAGATCCAATCAGCGCTTCCGCCTCTCTTGAATGAAAAGCCAGCGGTCCAGTGAGCGGAGCCGCAGTCGGACGCCAGGGCCGGAAGCGCGGCAGCTTGGGTCGAAGCGCGCGACCGGTAACTGGAGCCGGCGGCTGTCCTCGCAGCACGCGGAGGCGAACGGGGAACCAGGTGAGCGGCGGGCCCGGGGCGCGGGGCCGCGGTGCGGAGCCGTCGGGCCTGTGGCTGGGCGGGCGAGGGGAGACGCCGGGGCTTGAGGGGGGAGGAGGCGGAGAGGGCGCGAGACAAGGGGGGCGGGGCAGTTGGGGCGGCCGGCGCGCGCGGCCGCGGCCGTTGGGGCCCGGGGCGCATGCGCAGGGGGTGGATCGGCCGTTGGCGCGCGGGGCGCGGGGCCCGCTTCCGGGAGGGCTGTCATGGCCGCCGCGGGCCGAGCGCGAGCTGCGGGAGGGCCTGTCTGTCCGGCCCGGGGCCGTGTGGGGAGGGCTCGGCGGGCGACGCCGGGGGCTGGGGCCGCAGGGGGAGAACCGGAGCTCGGAGACGTGATGGGCTTCTCCGAGTCCGAGGGGCGCCCGCGCGCTCTGCCCCGTTACTGCGCTGCGTTTAGCGGATTCGGGGTTCCGGAGGTTTAGGGTAAAAAGCTGCTCTAGGAGGGAGCAAGCTCCGAGCTGGAAATCCTCGCTGGGGCACTCGCGGGTGAAGGGGCTCGCGTGCGGCTGCCCCTCACCTGCTGTCGCCTCCCGGGGCCATCGCCGCGGGCCTCGCGGGCCCGGCCGCCCTCTCTGGGCGGGCAGACCCCGCCGCCTCTCCTGGTTCGGGTTGTTGCGAGTTTTAGATCCTGTCTCGTTAACGTGCTGGAAAATGTGCCTCAGACAGTCTGCCCCCGATCTGTCTCCCCGTAAAAATGAAACGACTTGGTTTGGCCTCCTCATTCCTTTGAAGAACGCCCTCTGCTCTGGATCGCCCGGCTCTGAAGGCCAGCGTGGAGCACTCCGGCTCTCCTCTGCCCGCGGCTCCCCCAGGGGCGGTGCCGCCCTCTTCCTCCCCACTTCACGCCCGCACTCTTGTTCATCCTCTTTCCTCGGTGACTGGTGTTCCCTGCCGCCGGTCTCATCCCCACTCGTCCTCTGCTCCGGAGTCAGTTGTTCCTGGGCAAATCCTGGTTGAGTCACTGAGCTCGGACGCCTAACCAGCCATTCCCTGTTGAGCACGTTGAGCAGGAATGTCCTGGCCCTGCCCAGCTCTTCAGCTCTGTCTTCTGCTGTGCTGCAGCCAGCCAGCCCTATGCCGTTCCCCACAAGGGTCTGCGGCTGCTTCTGGGGCGACCTCTCCTGCCTCCTGTTCTTGCTGCCTGGGAAGTGACCCCTCCTCTCTCGGCCAGTCCGACCCCTTGGGGCTGGTATCAGATCACCTCTTTCAGCAATCGGGATAAGGATGCACACTTACTTTAGCCTCCAAACTCTGCCTTGAGACTTGATTCTAGTTCCATTCATTCATCACTGTTATTGAGAGCTTACCTGATGTATGCCGGGCCCTGTTCTAGGGGCTGGCATGACTGGAGGGGGTGCTTTTAGGTGGGGGCCAGCAGGAAATGCCCTTCGGCAGCAACAGTGGCCTGAAAGGAGTGGGGGGATTCGTGGCCGCTCCAGGCAGCAGGAGCAGCAAGTGCAGAGGTGCTGAGGTGTGTTTGAGGTGCAGGAGTAAGGCCAGTGAGTGGGGCGATGAGGAGATGGCGTCTGAGCACCGAGGGCTCAGGGCCTGCACGGCCATACTGAGAGCCCTTGACTTATTCTGGGCACAGCGGGAGCCTGGGGAGGGTTTTGAGGAGAGGAGGGACATTCTCTGACTCTCTTAGGTAGACTCTTCTGGCTGCTGTGGGGAGAGTGGATGGAGAGGGGTGGGGGGTGGGAAACAGGGAGACCAGTGAGGTGGCTTTTGGCATAATGCAGGCTAGAGATGGTGTCCAGGTGCCCGTCAACTGACAGTGGATACGCTAACTGTGGTGCTCCCACACAATGGAATATTACTCAGCCATGAAAAGGGGTGAAGTTCTGACACATGCTACAACATGGATGAACCTCGCAGACGTTATGCCAAGTGGCAGAAGCCAGGCACAAACATCACATGTTGTATGCTTCCGTTGTATGAAATGCCGCAATAGGCAAATTCCTAGAAGAGAAAGTACAGTAGTGGTTGCCAAGGGGGTGGGGGTAGGACGACAGCTGAAGGGCACAGTCTCTGGAGGCGAGGAGACGACCTGAAGCTGGCGGTGTAATGGTGGCGCCCGTCGCTGTCGTTGCTGAACACCACTGAGCTCTTCAAGCTCAGCACCGTTTCCAGGGGCGCCTCGTGTAGCACGTGACTTTCGCAGTAAAGCGGCGCTGAGGGTACAAAAGGGGAGGTGGGGGCTTGGGAGCCTCGAGGTCGCAGGGGTGAGAAGGGGCCTGCTGGTCCTGGCGGATTTCTCGGCTGATGGGACAGGGAGGGCAAGAGAGAGAAGAGAGAGCCGTCAAGAGAGGGGCCTGGCTTTCCTGGGATGGCAAGAGCAGGCCTGCAGGAGAAACGGAGCTCGGAGTTCCACTTCCGAGGCGAGATGTGGGAGAGGCAGCAGGTAACTGAGCGTGGAGCCGCGGGGAGAGGCCGCTGATGGAGACGCGGGTCCAGAGGCCTCTGCACAGGGTTAGAGCCCTGGGGCAGGAGGGAGTCCCAGAACCAGTGATAGGAGGGCCGGAGACTGGGCATCCAGCTCAGAAAGGAGGAGGACCACTTGAGCACTTCCACCCCCGGGGCTGGAGGCCGGGCTGGGGCAGCGGGGACAAAAGACTCCGTTCACACGTTTGGGTCCCTTGTAGCTGGCACCCGGTAGGTGCCTTGTCTGTATTGGGTTAAATAAATAAAGCCAAGAGATGAGTGAGCTTTGTACTAATTTCATTTACTTTCTTGGCTGTTTTTGTTGGTCTGGGCTCAGTGGGAGGCATTTTCATGAGAGCATTTAATTATTCCCCTTTGCAGGCCACAACTAGCGGGAGGAGTCAGGGCTGGGCAGACACTGCTCTTCCACAAACTTAGGCCTCTCCAGTCCTGGCAGCCGTATTTCTAGATCTTGGGGTCCTGCACCTTGCAGGCTGTGTGGGGTTCTTGCAGAGTGATGGGGAGGGAGCTTTAGGCTGGGTGGTCTGAGGCCGTTCCCCAGAGCTGAGGCCTTAGTGCTGAGGAGGAAGCATTGCTGCAGAGACGCGGGAGCAGTGCGTCCCCGGTGGTGGTGGTGGTGGTGGTGGGCTGCAGAAGGCTGGGGGGAGGCTTGATGAGTCTGAGCAGCCAAGCAAGGCAGGGGTGTTTGAAAGGGGCCGTGTGGAACCAGGTGGGCAGGGGCAGGTGAGGAGGGCTGTGCAGGCGGTGGGGAGGGATTGGGCTTTCCCCGGAGGGGGGAGGGTTTGTGTGCACGGGTGGGTGTGGCTGGCAGGGCGCAGGGAGAGGTGAGGTGGTGTGGCAGCAGGTGGAGATGTGGCCACCACAGGCTGAAGCCGGGAGGCGCCACGCGGGTGAGCTGAGGGGACCTGCTGCAGGAGTCACGCATGGGGTGCATGGGGAAGAGGGGTCAGAGGATGGTGTCCAGTCTTGGCCTCCTCAGCTGGGTGCTTCTGTGCTGGCTCCAGACCTGCCCCGAGCCCCGCCCTCTCGGAGCTGTGTCAGCAGCCCGCAGCCGCTGTGCAGCGCCCCACCCCACCCCGGCCGCTGTGCGTGCTCCTGCCTGCGTTCCAGTCACCTCGGCTGCTTCTCTCGGCCTTCTCCCTTCTCTGTTCTCAGCACCATGGCCGAACAGGACGTGGAGAACGAGCTTCTGGATTACGAGGAAGATGAAGAGCCCCAGGCTCCTCCCGAGAGCTCACCAGCTCCCCCCAAGAAAGACGTCAAGGGTTCCTACGTTTCCATCCACAGTTCTGGCTTCCGGGACTTTCTGCTGAAGCCGGAGCTGCTGCGGGCCATAGTGGACTGTGGCTTTGAGCATCCGTCTGAGGGTATGCCTCCCTGGTCTGCCGCGCCCAGGCCTTCCTCTGCCTGCCCTCACCGTGCTCCCCTCGGCCAGCAGGCGAGGGCCGCCCAGAGGGAGCACCCAGTGCCCGAGGCTCACGCGCGCTCTCTCTCAGTCCAGCACGAGTGCATTCCCCAAGCGATCCTGGGCATGGACGTCCTGTGCCAGGCCAAGTCTGGGATGGGTAAGACGGCGGTCTTCGTGCTGGCCACCCTGCAGCAGATTGAGCCCGTCAACGGACAGGTGGGTGTGCCCCGGGCCAAGCTCCCCGAGGCAGCAGGAGCCACGGCTCCTCTCATGAAAACTCCCTGTGCCCAGTGCCTGTCTGGGCTTTTGAAACTCAGGGCAGTGCTTAGTTGTGATGAAATCTTGTCGTGCTGGGGCGCACCTCAGGCTGCGCGTGGGTGCTGCAGCCCTTGTTTCCTTAGGGTGGGTGGTGGCGGAGGGGCTTTAGTGGGGCCGTGGTGTGGTCGCAGTGCTTCGCGCTGGGGCTGGAAGGCGAGGGCAGCCTCCCTCGGTGGGCGAGGGCCGACCAGAGCGCAGACTCAGGAGGCCGCCGGCACGGGGTGTATTCCCGCTCAGCTGGGTCGGACTGTTGGCCAGGCCTCACTGCGGGGACTGAGGCCCAGCAGCTGTGGAGCATGTGGGGAGGGAGCGGCTGGTGAGGGGCTGTGAGGAGGCCGAGGCATTTGGACTGGACCTGACGATGGCCCGAGGGGTGGGGACCCGCTGGCTGTGGACGCCCTGGGAAGAGCACTGGTGGGCTCTTGAGGGGTGGAGTCAGGACACTGCAGTGAGTGTCTGCCCTGCCCCCCAGGTGACGGTCCTCGTCATGTGCCACACTCGGGAGCTGGCCTTCCAGATCAGCAAGGAGTACGAGCGCTTCTCCAAGTACATGCCCAGCGTCAAGGTGAGCCCCTGGGCCGGCCGGGCTCCCGGCGTCCTGCAGCCTCGTGGCCTCGCTCGGGCCCAGCTTGCGTTTACCAGGCTTGGCTGCAGCCGCTGCCTTTGAGGCTGTGGTGGTTTATGCTCCTTAAAAGCCTGGTGAATTATGCATGGTCCCCGGAGGCCTGCGCCATCTCAGCCCTGGGGCTGCCTCTCACGGAGTGCAGCCAGGCCCTCAGGCTGGCCTCCGTCACTGGGGCCTCTCCTGTTCCCAGGCACCAGGCCTGCGGCGATAGGTGCCGCTGGGGCCTGTGGTGGCAGGACAGCGGGCGAGGTGGCTGTCAGCGTGGGGTGGGGTGGAGGTCTGCAGCCCCCAGACGGTTGACAGCACCTTCCACCACGCAGGTGTCCGTGTTCTTCGGGGGCCTCTCCATCAAGAAGGACGAAGACGTGTTGAAGAAGAGCTGTCCCCACGTGGTAGTGGGGACACCAGGCCGGATCCTGGCGCTTGTGCGCAACAGGAGCCTCAACCTGAGGAACGTGAAGCACTTCGTGCTGGACGAGTGTGACAAGATGCTGGAGCAGCTGGGTGAGCGTCCTCGCAGGCTCCAGGGCTGCCACACCCGCCCTGTCCTCGCAGCCCCCGACCTCGGAGCCAGCTGGGCCCTCACAGGGCAGGCCCAAGGTTTCCCCTGAGTGGGGTCATGTGGGTGGCCGGCACATGGGTCTCCTGTAAACAAATTTGGGGGAAGTTCTAGCGTTGGGAGAGAGTGACCTGCTGCTTCTGAGGCCAAGCCGAGTGGGCCCACAGGGCCCCCACGAGCCGCTGTCTGGGCGCACGTACACATTATCCCTAGGAGCACTGTGGCCTTGCCACCTGGTGGTTAATCCCGGGCCCCGCCAGGGCCGGGGGGAGATGGGGCTGTGTCCGGGGCAGCAGCAGCTCTCACCGCTCGCTGTCTCTGCCTCAGGCTCCCTCCCGAAGCGTGGCTCGAGGCGCGCTGGCACGGCTGCTCCCGCCGGCAGCGTGTAAGTGATGGCAGCTCCTCTGTGCGCCGAGCCCAGCCCCTCAGGCACCTGGGACTCGCCCTCCCTCCCTCCTCGGCTGCAGCACCCTCGTCATGGTGCCCACGGCTCCCTGGCACAGGTTGGGAGGGGCCGGGTCTGGTCTCGGGAGGGGTCTTGGGCTGGCAGGCACTCAGGCCCCGCCCCCCGTTTCTTGTGCCCCCAGACATGCGGCGGGACGTGCAGGAGATCTTCCGCCTGACGCCCCACGAGAAGCAGTGCATGATGTTCAGCGCCACCCTGAGCAAGGAGATCCGGCCCGTCTGCAGGAAGTTCATGCAAGACGTGAGTAGGGCAAGGCGGTGGCCAGGACCTCGTGCAGCAGCTCCGGCCTGCCTGCGCCCGGGCCTGAGCTGTCGCTGCTCCACGACACCCGCGCTGCCCTCCTGGCACAGGAGCGCCCTCCCTCCCTCCCCTCGGTCTGGGCACACTGGGAGCTGAGCCTGGTCTCTGCCTGAGCCAGACCAGACAGAGCCTAGATCCGGCTGTTGGGAGAGAAGTGTTTCCTGGGGGTCAGCAGGCCCTCTGGGCAGCATCGCAGCAAAGGAGCCGCTCGCCGGAAGGAGCTGGGCAGGCGGGCTGCCCAGGAGTAAGCCCTGCCGCCCCTCCCCGCCCTCCCCGCACAGCCCATGGAGGTGTTTGTGGACGACGAGACGAAGCTCACGCTGCACGGCCTGCAGCAGTACTACGTGAAGCTCAAGGACAGCGAGAAGAACCGCAAGCTCTTCGACCTCCTGGACGTGCTGGAGTTTAACCAGGTGCCGGGCGCTCGGGCCGCCTCTGGGCCTGCGGGCGGCCAGTGCCAGGGGACTGTGGCCCTGACTGCCCCCCCCCCCCGCCCCCGGCAGGTGGTGATCTTTGTGAAGTCCGTGCAGCGCTGCATGGCCCTGGCCCAGCTCCTCGTGGAGCAGAACTTCCCGGCCATCGCCATCCACAGGGGTATGGCCCAGGAGGAGCGGTGAGTGCCTGCCCCGACGGCCGGGCCGGGCCCCGCGTGGGGCGCACCCCAGGGCCCCGTCTTGATGGCCTCCTCGTTCCTCCTGCACCCAGCCTCTCACGCTACCAGCAGTTCAAGGACTTCCAGCGGCGGATCCTGGTGGCTACCAACCTGTTTGGCCGAGGGATGGACATCGAGCGCGTTAACATCGTCTTCAACTACGACATGCCCGAGGACTCCGACACCTATCTCCACCGGGTGAGTGGCCCCCCCGGGGTGTCACCTCCTGATGGCCCCTCCCAGGGCGAGGGCCTGAGCACCTGGCCCTGCTTGTCCACCCACCAGGTCTCGGCCTGACCCCCACTCCATGCCCCTGCAGGTGGCCCGTGCGGGTCGCTTTGGCACCAAAGGCCTGGCCATCACTTTCGTGTCTGACGAGAACGATGCCAGAATCCTCAATGACGTCCAGGACCGGTTTGAAGTGAACGTGGCGGAGCTTCCGGAAGAAATCGACATCTCCACGTACAGTAAGTGGCTCGGGCGGGCTGGGGCGGGGGCCGGGCCCCTCTCACCCCCCTCACTGGCCTCCCCCGTGTGTGTCTTACAGTCGAGCAGAGCCGGTAACCTGGCGCCCGACGGCCAGACCCACCCCTTTCCCCCGAGCTGCTGCAAGTCCTCTTTCTAGGTGACAGTGGGCCTTTCCTTTACCGTTTCAACGCTGTAGATTTGTGTAAGAATAAACTTTTATTATGGAAGCCTGGCTCCTGCCCTGTCTTGTCCTTTTCTCAGTGGGCCTGGCCAGTGAGACCCCAGCCAGAGAGCAGTGCCACCTGTGTATCAGTGATGTTTAATTTTGTGTCAACATTGAAAGGTCTATACAGATAAAAAAGATCACACAACATCCACAGCCTTCAAAACAGGGAGAACCCGCCGCCCCGGAGCAGACGGGCCTCTGTACCGTGAGCCTCAGGCAGTGGGGCTGGGAGGGACCCTGCCCTCCTCCCACCCCTGACCCCAGTCTTAGCTTAAGAGAGAAGTGGAGCCCCGGCACCCTGGCCTCTTGTTCTGTAGCAAAGACAGATGAGGGCAAGGGCCAGGCCGGGCATAGGAGCCCGTGGTCTGTTGGGGCCTTGTGACCCAGGGCGGGGGCTGCAGCCCTGGGCCAGCTCCCAGCCCACCCCGAGTCCAGGCCGGTCAGGGTGGAGCAGAGAGGCAGCCAGAAGCAGCCCAGGGGGTCTGACTCTGCACCCTGGCTGAGCGATGTGGGGTTCAGTCCTGACGGCAACTGTTGACCTCCTCGGTGGGGCACACGGGGGCCGAGGCGGGAGAGTGGAGAGCAGAGTGGTGGGAGAGGAGGAAACAGTCTTCAGCATGTGCAAAAGCTGCGGACGCCACAGCTGCTGGCCTGGCTTGAAGCGCTGTGTCCTGCACCCTGTCACATGCCGGACTCTGAGGGCCTGAGGGCCTGGAGAGAGAGGAGCCGCATGAGGCTGGAGCCCGGCCCAGCGGCTTCTGGCCCGCCCCCTGGCCCAGGCTGGGCCCTTACCCGAGTCTGATTGTGGCTGGAGCCGGATGTGGAGGTGAACTCCGAGTACTTGTTCCTGGCGACCATACAGGCCCACTTGCGGTACTCCTCCCTCACCTGTGGGCAGGACGTGTCAGGAAGGGAGGGCGGGG